TCGACTCAATTTTGGCAACTTGTAGTACATTGGTAAACATATAGGCTACAACAGGAAGGAGTAGATTTCAAAAAGGAGTGCCTAGAGGCACACCACAATACACCACAAGTCAAACTACCAACAGACGAATATATGCTTTCCTGCAAACACAGTGATGTGATTCTCCACTTGCGCACACGCATTGTTGGTGGGTGTCATTTTAATCAATTTCTCTGTGAGTCTACACAGCCAAAATGAACTAAATGCACTATACTCGACTTCTCTAAAGCTTCACAGTGTGTGTATTGAAGAACGTCTTGTGATGTTCGATGGCCACGACAAAAGAGTTTAATTTTATTTAATCTCAATGTAGTTTAAATGTTCAATTTATTTGAATGAGCTTGTTTGATAATAGGAAATAAGACGTAAAACTACTCGTATTGCATAGAGTAAAAATGGATGTACGGAAACCCAGCTCTAAATAGGAAATTGAGAAAGTCCATCCTTGTTTTCTTTTCCCTGCAGCCCCTGCTGTTTGAGGATGCAGCAAATGAAGCCATATCCTAGGCCACACACACACACACAGAGCCACTTATCGTTCTCTTTTGCTCTCACCCTCCCTTCCCTCTCTCCGCTTGTCCTTCCCCATCCAGATCAATACCATAGATCAGCTAGCTATCAGGCTGTAAAATGACCACATCACCATAAACACACGCTCGCTCCCTTTTTAACTCACGCACACACACACACACACACACACACTATTGCATCTTTTTAGAGAACAAGTGGATGGCTATAATAAACACCGGCTGGCTCATGCAGCCTCGTATTGCTGCGCCAAATCATCATCAGCAGCAGCGTTGTGGTCGGTGCGTCGGCCGTATTGATTTAGTTATGGCTGCTTCATATGCTGTCGGACAGTGTTAAACGCACATTTTCTGTTATCATGCTACACATTAATCAGAGGCTGCTTAGAGGCTTGGGAGATGGGGAGGACGGTGGATAGAATGAAGGAGGGATGGATGAAGTGAGGACATGAGGAGAAGAGGATAAACTGCAAGGGATAGATGGAAAACATAAGAGAGGAGATGCAGAGGATGAAAGGTGAATGTGTTCTCATAGGGAGAACATTATATTTTGTTATATTAGGGTCACAAAATAGTGCAATAGAGTGTCAAGACTGATAGCATTAAGGTAAACACGCAGAAGAAGAGATTTAACCTATTTCTTGATGTTTTACGTGTGAACAAGGAACCGCCTGAACACAACACAAGCGTGGGAGTCTTGTCAGCAGCGTAATCTGACTTTACTCCGGTTGCTTGTGTGGAATTCTGCACACACTCATATTCTTCCATATGTCTTAAGAAACCGAAGCTAAACATCTCTCCTTCTGTCTCTCTACCTGTCCCTCTCCACCAGAGTAACGGAGGAGGAGTCCACGGCTACCACCATGGAGGCTCTGAAGGCTCGAATCAGAGAGCTGGAGAGGCAGATACTGAGAGGAGACCGATACAAGTGTCTCATCTGCATGGTGAGTATCACCTTCATGTGGATGTTCTCTGATGCTCTGCACATCAACCCTTAATGGCAGCCTTGTGCCAATCATTCGAAGGCCCTGGAATTTGTAGAACTGTGTGGTAGCATATAGAAGTGTGGCTAATTTCCCTCAAACCCTGAAGAACCTCTCCAAGGAGGATGTTGCTCTTTGCTCAGTTTGAGCTTTTCCTACTAGTTACACACAGACACTGTGTCCCAATACAGTGGCTGGAACCTCCAAAATCCACATTATTAGGCTGACAGTGCCTGGCCCATGTCAAAGCCTTTTCCAAATACTGCCCCCTTTAGTCCAAACGTGCTCTGTGGGACAGATTGGTCAGTTTTTGAAAAGATCAGTCTCTGGCAAATGCATCACATGAATGGAAGCCAGGCATAAACTCCCCCGTTGGTTCTTGTAAGTCAAACTATTGAATTGTCAATATTTACCACTGAAATTATATATTGTGGCCTATGTGAGACAACCACCTTGGTAAAAGCTTTAGATTTTTTTAGTTTTGGTCTCTGTGAAGCTAGAATAACTCATATGGGGAGGAGGGCCAGGGCCAACCTGGTCCTCAGATAATTGTGGAGGACTAATCTGTAATCATAGTGGTAATCAGCTGACGCTCACATTAAATAATGTTAAGCGTATTGTGTTGTGTGCTGGATGCTCCTTGAAGTGTGCATGTAGGACCTGTGTGCATCTCATCTCCCTCAGTTTGTGGAAGTCTGTATGGAAGAGTGGTGGTGTCGCTGTTGTGTTGTGGTGGTTTCTGCTCTTGCATGGCTTTGCAAGTCAACTGAATGTGTGCTGAGATAAGAGACTCCAGTGCTAATATCATTTGTTTTGCCTTTTGATTTAAACTAAGTGCTCCCCGTGAGGAATGCAGAACAACCTCAAAAACTGACAGGCAGCACATGTAGGAGATTAAATCTAGTTGACAGACACCAGTACTGCATTGTAAAGTGTGGAGATGGCTCTGAGCTTTACAGCATGTATAGGTGATTGATTGGACTCCCAGATCAATAATATAAGCCACAGGTTCATCCACGACAACATCAGGCAGAGTGAGGGACATTGTCAATATTCATGTTCATCGGATGCCTGAGATATGACTACAGCCCCCCCACTGGTGTTTGTGTTCCCCACTTTGTGTCAAGTACCCATCCTGTCATCCCTCAAGCAAGTGGACAGTGCAGCGTCGGCATCCTCTGTGTGTGTGTGTGTGTGTCTGTGTGTGTGTGAGTGAGAGAGAGAGAGTAAGAAAGGCGGGTAATTACCGACGCCTGCGCTTCCTAAAGGTCGCTGAGTGCCTGAGGTGGCACGGAGGGCAAGGCACAGCGATCGATCACTCACTGCTCCATGGACACACGGCTCTTTCCGCTCATCTGTCACTGTCCCTCATCTCTCTCACACACATACACACACACTCAGGCGTACAGAGAAACACAAATATGTGTGCAAACTTCACACAGATGCTTTACATCTAATCAGTCTCTGTCTGTCTGTAAGTTGTCACCGCGCTCCTTCCCTGTCAGTGTGTCTGATGTGAAAGTCAGATTGTTTAACTAGTCGCCAATCAGAAAGCATTTTAGATTTCCACTGCAGCCTCCAGAGTTATGACTCAGTAGCTCAAACTGTTCACAGTTCACAACCTTCCAATGCTCAGGTAGTTGTATGTAAGTAGAAAACAAGTGCTCTCCTGCTGCCGCCAAGTTGGCCCAAGTTGTCCTTGATCCTTCCTGGTCCTGCAGGGAGCTCAGCGCTGTGGTTTGGTCTTTCCAGTGGATTCCTACCCCCATCTACTGGTCACTGTAGCACCTGAGCCTTGTTATGTTCAGATTTATAGACGTGATAGTTTTGCAAGTACATATATTCCTATAATAAAAGGCACTATTTTTTTATAAAACTAACACTAGTAAACAGAGTAACCAAAAAACATCAGCACTTCTAGCATATAGTTTTCAACCAGCCAGGGAGTTCATATTGGTATTCTCTGTTGCCCTCGCCTTGAAGTTTGTATTTCTCTATATTTATACCAAAAACATGAGAAATGTAATATAATATTATAGAAAACTCGTTTCTTTTTCTACTTGTTCTTCAAGTAGAAGTCTCAAGAGCAAATAGGGAGCACCATAAACACTCAACACACCCAGCTTAGTACATTATTGTATTATTTATTGTTAATAGGAGTAAAGACAAAAGACAAGTCGTTTTGAGTAATTTTTACCAAAAAGAAGAAAAACATAAAACTTTTGGACTGTTTTTGTGATGGACATTTTTCACAATTTTCTGCCATTTCGTCAGAGTAACTGGATAACAAAAGTATTTTGTTAGTTACACAAACTGATGAACACTCTCAAGCCCCATAAACACACATACACCTGAAAGCATTCTTGTGTTAGCTTGTCAGTGGATAAAGAAAACATTTCTGTCAGTATTTAAACATCATTAACTGCATCTTCAAAAGTAAAACTAAATCATTATATTCACAGTATTCTGCCTGTAACCAATGAGATGTCTTAAAAATCCTCAGCGTTCCCGCCATTGAACACGATAACATTCATTGTGCCATAAAATACAAAGTGAATGACTTGTTGCTGTGTTTACAGAAAGAAATTTTAGGCTATCGACCTTCAGACACTTGGCCAAGTCATCGGTGTTTATTTGTTGTTATTTGCCAAAATAAAGTTGGTGTGAACAGAGAGAGAGTTCTCTCAGGTTTCCTGAGAGCATTTTGTTCATTGGCTGTAGGTGCTCTCGTATGCTGTGTGTGTGCCCGTAGGTGTTTGACACACGCGTGTTTGTTGCACTGTGGTGTTTTGGTTGTGCGCGATCAGTAAGCCGCTCATGTTAGTGCCACCTTTCGCCCTCCCCTTCCTCTACCCCCACCCTCCTTTCCGCAAGAGGAAGCCTGCTTCCAAGTCGGCGCGAGAATCAAGAGCTAGGGGGCGTGGCCAGGGCCCCGCACTGGCCCCAAGGGTCGAGAGGCAGCCAAAGTCCTCCCCTCGGCCTGTTACTGCCTGTACAGGGGCTTGTTGATTGTGGCTAACGGCAAGCGGGCATAAAGAGGCTCCTCCCACAGCCCCTACGGAGGGTAAGGCACTCCCTCCCTCCTCCGCTCCTCGTCCTCCCCCACGCCCTTCCTTCCTCCCTCATCTTTCCGTTCTTTTCGAGAGGAAAAGAAAAGAGCGCCCATCAGATTGGGTTCATTCGTGGCTTTCTTCCTCATCTTCTCCTCCCACTGCCTGCTTCCCTCCGTCTCTGCTCGTTGCCTGCCCGATATCGTGTCTGTGCGTGTGTGTGTGCAGGTTGCCGGTTCAGTTGCCCCCGTGCTGCCTTGCTCAGTGGTTCTGTGGCTGTTGGCTGTGTCGTTCCATGGTTAGTGGTTTGATGCTGTCAGTCAGGGAATGTACATTGTTGTTTTGGTCGTTAACAGCCACGTGCGTGTCCTTTTGAATTTGGTGTAAATAATTTGTTTCCTCCCCCCTTTCTTTGTTTCTAGGACTCCTACACGATGCCGCTCACCTCCATCCAGTGCTGGCACGTCCATTGTGAAGAATGTTGGCTCAGGACTCTGGTACGCACAGACTCACACACTTGTACACACACACACACACACACACACACACCCACTCCATGCTGCAGGGCAGCTCCTCATGACATGCAGTTATTGCAGCCTCATTTCATAGTCAGTGAGTTTCTCTCTGTAGCTGTGCCCCATAGGGAGGAATTTAAATGGAATATTCCCCAAATGACCTGTTCTTTCATTGCTCGCACACACACAGACACACACACACACACAAAATCGAGGCAATGCAAACACTCTAAGTAGAGGAAAAGCTTAGATTGAATGGTCCCCAAAAGGCTTGTTAAAAATGTTGGAATAAAGTGGTCAACTCGAACTTCCAAGGAGTTCTACATAATGCCTGGGGTCTACACACACACACACACACACACACACACACACACACACACACACAGACTGGTTTTGTTGGTTATTAGTTAGTCTAATATATTCAGTAGTGTGTAATTAGCTGGTGCTAATGTGGTAAATGGAGCGCAGTGTTTCTGCTGCTGGGAGGATAAATAGTCTTCTCATTGGCCCTCCTTGGTTTTTGTTATCTCCACTTTTCTCCACATGCCCTTCATTGTGGTCTTTTTCTTCCCTTACCTCAATCATTTTTTCCTCTTCTATCACCCTTTCTCTCGGAAGCCTCCTCCTTCTCACCTCAGTGTTTTTTTTTCCATTAAACACCATCAGTTGCCAGTTGTGACAGACGTCAGTTACTAACAAGCAGTTCCCCACCATTAGCTCCCTTTGATTTTAAACTTAATTATAAATACACTCTTAGCATAATTACAGGACCAAAGGGGAAGAAATTAATGACCAAAGAATTGTATAAATTACTGTGCTCATATGCACATCTCTAAATTATTCAAATTATTCATTTCTTTTTCTCATTTGTCAAAGAACCAAATCTATACCGTGTCTGGACCAATAGTAAACTCATGAGCACCGACCTGTATTAGTTATGTGGCAGGTCCTAAGCCTCAAAATAGCAAATAAAACACAACTAACTGCAGTAGAGTTAGTATAAATGCCAAGCAATACTAGTATTAAATACTAAACAGTATTAGTATTTTTACTAACCATATAAAAGCTGGAAATGTGAGCCTTTTAGTCCACTGTGGCCCAAAGAATTTTTCAACAACTTTTGGAGGGATTACCAGTAAGTGTGTGTGTCCCTAGTCCCCAGAGGATGAATGACTTCAATAATTTCCCTCCTTTCTGTTCAGCACCATCAGCAAGTAAACATTTGAACTTCTCAGATCATTCCATGATGTGACAGGATACCCCCCACATAAAGGACGAATACCCATCAGCTACAACAATATTATGACTTTAATGCCAGCATATCATAATAATATGCAAACTGTAAGCATGTTAACATGTTTGTTCATTTTTGTAAGGTACCCTGCTGAGTTTTTGACCACTAGTAGTAGCGTTATAGTGGCAGTAATGCCCAAAGAGTGTAGCAGTGCGCCAACAAAGGCAGTAAAGAAGACTGCAAGCAAATAAACGTGGATGTAAACAATGTGGGGTTGAACAAAGTCTAACAGTGTAGAGCTAAAACAGCTAATTATATTAATATTTTGTGTTTTTAAGCAAATAAGACTAAAGAGACACACCTAAGATCATTACAGATTCATGAAGAACTTCACGTGGGTGCAGTTTTTTTTTAAATTGAACCAGATTGTGCATTTACAGACAAGGTGTCGCCACTCCAGACAAATACAGGATATGAGAGACAAAAAATACAGTCAAACCAACAAAATATAATAAAAAAATTATTTGAAAGAAGAAAAACAAGAACCGTGAAAAGTCATCTGAACGAAGTTGTACAAATTACTTGTACGGTTTTAAAAAATTTTCTTTCATTCAGTTTCAAGAGAGACCATGAGAAGACACTCTTGAATGAGGCCCATTGTTTCCATCTGCCATGTACCTGTGTACTTAGTGTGTGTGTGTGTGCGCATGCTGCCGTCACTGCTCTAATGTATGGGGCATTAAACGCATAGCCTGGAGACAGCTATAAAAACGGGAGGGCCAAGCTGATCAAAGTAAATGCCTGGGAATCTAGTTAACGTCAGCCCGGCCCCTTACCGCTTTAATGAGCAAGGCAGCTGGAGCACAGCGTGACGGGCACACACCCACACACACTTACCGCTCACACTAACCAGAGTACACAGCTTCGACAGGCGTGCAAACAAACAGGAGGAAGGCTCCTTACACACACAGTGTATGAATGAAAAACACTGCCATCACTTGTATCATCATCGTTTGAACCTAGAATGTGTCCATAGCACAAAGTAGCAAAGAAGTGGCATTGAATATTTGGTCAGATACATTGTCAGATTGCCAATCTTAGTATTTTTGTTAGATGCTTTTGTACATCCACTTGTGTAGACAAGATACAACATTTTAAAATGACGTTTTAATCTTGCTTTATCGGCACCAAAACTTGTATCTTAGCTAGTATCATTGACTCCCAACCGATAACCAGAGCTACTGTAGAAACCTGTGCATCAATTTTAAAACCATCCCCGACTTCTCTATTTTATATCACATCCACCCTCTTCCTTGTCCCTTTCTTCGCCTCCACACTTTTCCTCCTCCATTATTCTCTCTTGAGACACGGAGAGACTGTTTTGAGTACTCTGGAGCCACAAATCCTCTTTGCAGGAGGGTGTGAGATCTGTCAGACTCTTGCACCACCTTAGTCCTCTTGAGAGTGTGTGTGTGTGTGTGTGTGTGTGTGTTAGCCCTACAGACTACCTTAGTCCATGCACCCACTCCACAGACTTTATTCAGTGACTTACAGGAAAAGAAGCCTATAAATCTTCAGGGTCAGACGAGGCTGTACATTTGTACAGGATTTGGAAGGTGCAGGTACTCCAGTTATGAGATCTCTGCATTCTGTTGTACTTGTGTTAGATGTCACACACACAGTGTTTTACACACCTTCTACACACATTACAGTGGACCTATGAAGGTCTCCACACACCAAAGAGATACTTTTGTGATGGATGATGGTCAGTTTTGTAGTCCAAATATGTCTAACATGTCACTTTTCAAGGGAGTATGGTATGTGAAATGACATTAAATCATAATAAGGGATGTAAAAAGTCATGGAAGCTGTTTTATAGTAATTATTAGCAAGACTTGTATCATAGCTGAAAGCATCCAGAACATGAAAGTAGCAATTGCTGCAGCTTCCTCTCCTAGTTAACTCCAGATGTACCACCATACTTAATTTATTTACATCATTTATTGTGACATTTATATTTATTCATACATCTGTGACCAATGCACAAACAGCACAGTGAGAACTGTTGGCGGGAATGTGCCTGCAGCCAGCGGTTACCACCCAACACAAGAAAGGTGGAGGACAGCGGTGGAGACCACCCAGTCCGAATGTTGTTACGCTGTCAGCCCTATGTTGCATATTATCACCTGCTGCTTTACTGCAGATGGCACACTATCAAAGCAGTGCAGAGAGGGAGGAAGAGTGCTGAAGGGAGGACTGTGTGAGGCGGGTTTACATTCACACAAAGGGAGCGGGAAGTAGTCGTTACATAATGAATTCTAACACTGGTAAACTGTCAAAAGACACATGCAGCCCATGTACAGAGCAGTTGTACTGCAGAGAAAGTGAGTGATCTTGGTTCAGTGTGTCTTGTTCTGAATGTGGTCTGCATCGAGGTGAAGTTAGTTTCAAATTTGATATTGATCGGCTGCAGCAGGTCTGTTTGCATCAGTGATTCTGATCAGAGTTCTATAGAAGCAGAAAGCAAACTGTCTGGAACCAGCAAATGTCATGTAGTTTGGTGACCTGTTTTTTTTGCTTTTTTAACACAAAGAAGTATCAATTCCACATTAAAACTTCCAGAATCTCTGAATATGGTAATGTTGTTTATTTCTAAAGTTTCCCTGCTGGACACAAGATGTCTCTTACTTCAAAGTTAAGTCCATTATCAGTGGATGAGCACTGGTGCTTTTGCAAGTTTCTTATGTCATCAAATCATGTTCATAGGCCCCTGTAAAATCTTTTTTTATTTTATTTTAATTTTCAAAACATCCTTCTAGTGTCAGACTCTGCACAGACATTCTGCACAGTGAAGCTCAAACACCCAACTGTAGGAACAAGAACAAACATAGTAATGGAGTGGAGGGGGGTCATAAACTCAGTTTCTAAACAACAAAGCTAACCATTGTCTCTCCATCTTATCACAGGGGAACAAGAAGCTGTGCCCGCAGTGCAACACCATCACCTCACCCGGAGACCTGAGGCGCGTCTACTTGTAAAGAGCACACACACCCCCTCCCGCCCCGCCTCCTCGTCCTTTCAAATCCATTTCTCCTCTCGTCTTGGATCTCATCACCCTCTCTGTCGATCGTCATTTGTTCTCCCTCTCTCATGGCCGGGGTCGGCAGCTCCAGACCCTCCAAGAGCATACAGAGACAAGACGGCTGTCTTTTGAGACTCCACTGGCTCTTTCGGGAGGTTCAAACTGGATGCAACTGAAAGACTGAGCGGCTCTGACTGACTCTCTGGCTCGCCGCCTGGCCACCCATTAAGAAAACAAAACATGGAGACCTGCGATCCTGCTGGTCAACAGGCTTGTTTCCTCTGCCTCAGTGACGCGACGCCCTGTACATGTAACATAAGGGTGTCCACTGAAGGACTTGTAGTCAGTGGAGACCCCCCCCCCGACACCCAGCTAAGCCCTGCTGAGACCTGGTAGCTTCATGCAGCTGGAGCTGAAAGGAACTTCTTAATACAGAATATAAAGACTTCTTTTTTTCCCCCTCTAGCTCTTCTTTGACATTTCGGTGGTGCTGGACAAGGGGCTCTACCCTGAAGACTCAACAGAAAGCTTCTTTTTGTTCCCAGAGAGAAAACTCTTATCGACATGCCCCTGTTGCTTATGAGAATTGAAAAAAAAGGGGCCTGTCCACTAAAACTGAGCTTTCAACCAAACTGAGAATAACCTCACAACCTTGAAAAGGAGTTTGACACTCCTCCTCCTCCTCCTCCTCCTCCACCACCTCTTCTTCTCACGAGCCCTTCCCTCCCCTTCTTCCCTCTTTTGTGGTGTTCTAGTGAAGTAAACCAAAAGTTTCCCCCCCTCCAAGATGCAGTGCAAGCACATGTAATATAGTTCTATGTATGTTTACAATGTTGGGTGTAAATGACATAGAGTATACACACAGACACACACACACACACACACACACATACACACAGATGCAAACACATGCACACACGGTACCATCAGCAGACACACACAGAAGTATATAATATCAAAGTCCTGTTTTTAGTTGGAAGGGTTTGGGAATGATGTTTGGGGAAAAAAATGGCTGGAATAAAAGAAGCCTTCTGTATTTTTAAAAAAAGATCATTTGAAGATCCGTTGAAGTTTTATTTCACTGTACAGGAATAAAAAATTTAAGTAATAATAAACTACTCAAGACTAGATGGTCAAGATTTAGGTGGTGTAAGTTTTCTGCAGAGTACCCTGAAAAAAAAGCAAGGAAAGAACTTTTTTTGTTTTTCTTTTAACGAATGGTGAGATTCCTATAATGCAAACAAGCAGAAAGATGGATCTGCTCTTAAGTTGCAACACTGTCCAACTGAGCCTCTTCTTTTAACCTCCATTTCTGCTTCCTCTCATTCGGAGTAACATCACGCTCAGATCATAGTCTAGAAACATTGTTTTACCCCTACATGTCTCAAAAGAAAGCTTTTTCCATTGTTCCATCATATTGCTATGCTGCAAAAAAGGTCCCAAAATGGCAACCCCGAAGGGCAGGTTCTTTCTAGCTATAATGGATGAATCAAAGTCTCTGGAAAGGAAGGATGGCCATGGCTGAACTGGCAACCTCCAGAACCCGCAGCATTTCCCCCCTCTCCCTTTACGGCAGCAGCAGCAGCAACCAAGGTGGTGGTGTGCTTTGTGTTTGTAAAACTATGTATTCTGTGACGTCTGTATTGTTGTAAGAAATGCTGAAAAAAAAAAGAAAAAATAAAACTTCTCAAATACCACGAGTGGTCTTGTTCGCACAACCTGGATGGTACAAGAAAGAAACGGCAAAGAAAAATGTTCGTGTGTTCACTGTGAATAGACTTTGTGTGTCATCTCAGTGTCAGCAGTGTTCACTCTCTCAAAGGACTTCCACTGTGATATAATGTACAAGGCCCACAGTTTAAACACAACTTTTCTTTTCAGAAAATATTTAATAGGGTCTGGGATCCTTTTTAACAAGGCAGTTAATTCTGTAGTAGAGAAAGCATGAGTGGATCAACTCTGATTAACAAGTTCATATCTACTGATGAGCTTTTTTCTATTTACAGCTATTACAAGAAAATGTCATATTACATGAAAAAGATGTAACTACAAGAAAAAAAATCAAATTGTAATTTCGTGGTTGAAATGAATAATAAAAAAATGACAGGTGTGACTGGGAACAACACAAATTGGTTATCACCCTAGTACCTTTCGGTTTGCCAGAACATTCGCAGGCTCTCCGGGATACTGTTATATGTACGCTACATTCAAAATGTACTTAAGTAAAAGTAGTTAAAAGGTTTTTTGGGGGCTTTTATTGTCTTTAATTGATAGTGACGGCTGCAGATTGACAGGAAAGGGGGGCAGAGAGAGGGGATGATGATGATGGGTCAGATTCAAAGCATGGGCTGCTGCAGCAGGGGCGAGCAATCCGGGCGCCCCACAAGTACCAAAGTATTAACATTAAAATATACTGCCCAAAGTAAAAGCACTCATGTACATTGGCCCATTTCAGAATGATGTTTTGGTGGAGCAATTTGCAGATCTCCATTAAGGCGAGTCCTGCACTATTACCAGAGGGGCCTGTGTTAGAATCTAGTTTAAATTATGTATAATTAAACATTATTATCTTTATGATTATTTTTGTTTATATTGTGCTCACATAGTGCATGTTTTAAGAGAAAATGCAATCTATTATTCTAAGAGTACTGGCAGTTCTTTCATCATGTAATGAAACTGCCATATATTGTCTTCTGTGTGCTTCTGTGACCTGAATGGGAAATTGGTGACAGCATATATACACATTGCACAGAGGATGGGAGGGCGGAGGTCAATAGCTGCTCAAATGCATATTTTAACAGGTTAATCTGTCCATACTTGAAACATACAGTTTTGGCCCTAAACCTCTTAACATATAAAATGATGACACCAAAATGATGCATTACATAAATGATACAATAGTGCATTGGTTTTTATAGTAATATGAATCTAAAAGGTGATTTGTTGAGTGTATAACTCTATCCAGATAGGGTGCTTCTGGATATTTGTTCTCTTCTGCTTTCCATAAGGTGGAATAACCACACGTATATGTGTTAGATCATTGTCAGAATGAGTCATTAAGACAAGTGTTGTCAGATGCTAATAAAATTTTATTGCAAGGGAGGAAACCACAGCGGGAGGTGAGTTGTGTTTAAACTGTTTTTCAATCAGTTTTGGATGGCAAGGCAGCATGCTGGTTACACTGACCCCAAAACACATCCCATTCGTGCAGTCAGTGTTACTTGTTCCTGAATTTTGACAGTTTGAGTCCAGTGATTTAGTTTTGGACTTCCTCAAGAGAAGTAGACATCATTGCAGCAGGCAGATATTTTCTGACTTTTATTCCTACTAGTTCAAGCTCCAAAAACACTACATTCCCTTAATTTAACTCAAGTATCTTTTATCAGACTTCCCCTTCCTGGTAAAGGCCCGCATCTTTCAAACCCCATGCCTCAGTTTGCAATGTACGCTTTCCTAAACCAAACTGAGATAACCCTGATGATCATGAGTGTGTTCCCTCCCCCTGACAAGTTAATTTACAGCAAATATGGAGCTAGCAGTATTCCAGCATAGGAATATTGCTTAGTTTCTGGGACTCAAGATCAAGATGGCTGATGGAACATATGGGAATTCAACTGGGGCTCACATCTCATTTTCGCCATGGGGTCCGTTGATGAGTTAATCCAGCTCTGCCTGGAACAGGTACAAGAGAACCAAATAAAACCTGACACATAACTACATTTTTCATTGTATCACACTGTGTCACCAGTCATTTAGGAGTAATATGAGCACAGCTGTAAGCCGATGTAGGGTTAGTGAGTTATTAAGTTTGTAGCGATAAAGGCTGCTCCCATTTCTCTGGCTATGGAGCGGATCCAGAAGACAGCATTGCCATCTAGAGGGCTTCAACACACAGTCACATAATCCCACCGGTTATCAGGCAGCTATCAGCCAATCCCCAGATGGTGTCAGCATGCTTGGGGGAGCAGATGTGTGTGAGTGCCTGCACGTTCTTGTTAAACAGCGTTATAGAAACCAACCCTGCCAAACATCAGAGCTCATTTAGCAGCCACCAGTAACAAGGCAAGAATTACAACAATCTGATTTCTCACACCACTATTTGGCGCTCAGATCTGTGTCCAAGCCTTAAACAAGAGCAGTATTTGCAGTTTCTTACCGACCAAGGTGAGGCCTTATTGGAGCCAGCCCTGCCCAGTAAGCGCTCCTGTAAGTGCTGTCAGATGCTAATAAAGTTGCAGTGAAAGCAGTGAACCACAGCAGGAGATGAGCTTTTTGGAATATTCTGGAGTTGTGTTGAGTGTCTGGACAACACTACTGCAATACTGTGTGAGTGTGTATCAGCATACAGTATCTCATTTGGACAGTGATACTTTGTCATTTGTTCATGGTTGTGTCTGCATGTTGGCCCTGTTCCCAAGCAAACAAGTGCTGAAATACTGCTTTCATTTCACTGTGTAGGATGGTACTTAGCTTAACATGTTGTCAGCTGGTAGCTGCTGGCTACCATGTGGTTGTGCTTGCGGTGTATTAGCTGAAGGGTATGCTTTGTTGCTGAGGAGGTTTGTTTATTTGTTTGTTGTTTGGTGGGTCAAACAACTTGCTAGGTGGCTTAACATGCATACTTGGGGAATAATTGATTACATGTTACTGAGTTATGTAATCAGGATACAAGAAAATGTAACTATAATCCATTACAGTTACAGTAAAAAAGACGTAATCAGATTACAGTTGCATTTAGTAAAAAATGGGATTATTTAGCAAGATTACAATTTTAAAATACATACATTTTCTTAGAAAATACACTGAGCAGAGGGCACATTTTTGATTTTATTCAATTTTTTCCATTTTCTTTTCAAAGGTTACATTGTAGTTGTCTCACAGAATACTTTGCATCAGTATTGTACTTCTTATTGACATTTCTTCTTGTTTGTATTTACATATTTGGTTTTGAGGTTACCCGAAAGTAACAGAAACTAATGAAGTTACGTTACTTTAATATTGCAATACTTGGATTACTGACTACATTTTTTAACAGGTAATTAGTAAATGTATAGGCTTACATTTTTAAAGTAACCCATGTTGTTAGCTGGTAGCTTGCGTTAGAGGGCTGTGTTGAATGTGTGGGTGCAGGTAATGAAGGGGGTAATTCTGGGATGCTGGAACACAATTTTGAGGGTTCCTCAATGTCACGGGCCAAACACCAGTTGTTGAATAAGTAAATAATATTATTAACATATATATAATTATTTTTTAGCCAGGTTAGTACAGTACTCTCTCTCTGTGTGTGTGTGTGTGTGTGTGTGTGTGTGTGTGGCTGGCTGTGTGTGGCTGTGAATGTCCATGTCAGATCCATGGAAATGTCTTTTGGAGGTCAGACAGTGTGTGTCCTACTGTGGATGTACACAGTATGGTGTGGTCATTATTGGCATTTTGCAAACACACACACACACACACACACGCACATACACAGAGGCTAATCAATATGACGGTCCACTCCCTGCTCCGTCTTCCTTCCTGCACTTCCCATAGACACCCATACATACGATACGTTCACATTGCACATGCATAGACCCATAAATACACACTCACAAATACACACACACAGTTTGACACAAACTGCATATCGATTCAATCACTGACTTACTCGGATGAAGACAATAATATTGGCCAGTTCAACTAGACAGTGTGTGTGTGTGTGTTTAGCTCCAGGTTAGGTGCCAGAGGTACCAGGAAATCTATCCAAGAGGCGCCTGCAGGAAGAGGCAGGAAATTGAACCAGTTGACAGAAGAACCCCCTCAAGGCTGGTTCAGAGTCATTAGGGCCATTTAGCTCATCAACTAGCTCCACCCAAACTACGAGCTGAGTTCCCATGGTGTTTGTGTCCTTTCACATACTATTGTGTGAGCCAGTCGTTAAAAAAATCATAGTTGCATTGCAGAAGTATAGAAAATGTGGAAAAGGGAATTGTGCGACAATTGCAATGGAATTAAATAGATATGTCTTCTGAAAAGTTGTTTTCCATCACCGAATCAAATGGGTTCTGAGTTCCATTTAAAACATGTACAGAGTAACAGTAAATAAAATCATTCTAAGAAAAGTAAGTTTCGCAATATGATAGTTTTACCATATCGTGCAGCCCTAATTCTAAGGTAATACCCCCCCACAACAATTCTTATTTTCAGGTGATTATACACTAATGAAAACATACCTATGTATATTATGTTCAATTCTGCCATTAGACCCTCCTAAATGTTACACACTGGACCTGTAAAAACTATTTTGAGGTACAGTTTTTAATGTTACTTCAAGGAATCAAGGAAATGTGTTGAGCATTATACAACTCAAGGTTGTATAACAAAATGAAAGTTTGAAGTCCCTTCACAATTAAATTCATTGGATAGCGTAAGCCAATGTACAGTTATTTATATATACACTGATCAGCCCTAACATTCTGAACACCTGGGCAGCCTTTCTATCAGAACCAGCTTAACTTTTTCAACAGCTACAATAGCTCATCTGTTGGATCCTGTCTCCGGTTCACCACTTTTCCTTCCTTGGACCACTTTTGATGATGACCACTGCAGACTGGCGAACAACCCCACAAGAGCTGCAGTTTTGGAGATGCTCTGACCCAGTCGTCTAGCCATTCACAATGTGGCCCTGTTCAAAGTCGCTCAAATCCTCACGCTGCTT